GTGTATGGCCATGCCCCATGGCCAGCAGGTGTCTCCCACAAGACCCGCAGGATGCACACCACCCTTGAGTCCCACAGGAAGGACTGGCATCTCCTCTGTGGACTTGGAAATACTGAAATCAGGGGAGTACATAAGGGACCACTGACATCTACTCCAGCAGAACAAAGGAATGCTGGTGAAGTCTGAAATAGGAAAAGACATCCCCAGCCAAGGTGATAGCCCCTGCTGCGTGGGTTCTTTATCTCTTAGTTAGGAAGTGTCCCAAGCCCAAAGGCCTTTATATGGAATAAAGTGGGGGTGAAAACACTGTACACATCGATGGCCTTTCCCAGTAGGCCACCCCTCGACCCTTGTCTCCAACCCTGGATCAGCAGACAGAGCACAGCAAATCCCATAGGGCATTCACCCCAAATGTGGAGACAGAACTAGATCACGTGGGGCCCCTGAGTTTGCTCACGGGGTCTGTTGGTCACTTAGATACAGCACTCTATCGCTAAGAGAACAAGACCTAGGAGGATAAGTAGGCTTCCCTACAGGACGGTCCTCAACCAGCAACCCAAGTGCCAGAGGTAGGTCACCAAAGGTGTCTAGGAATGAGTGTGGGGACTATGTGTGCCCCACTGAGAACCATCACCCAGAGCACAGATCTCATTTGCAGTTCCTCCCACCCCTGGTTATCGACATATACATAGCAAGAGCATTGGACAACACAAATGCCACCCGATTCTGCCAGCAGGGAATTGGGGGCTGACTTGGTCTGTTTTCTGTTGCTATCACAGAATATCTGAAATGGGTCATTTAGAAAAGAAAGGGGTTAATTTTGACTCTTGGGTCTGCAGGCTGAGAGTCCAAGTTGGCAGCTCCTCTTGGTGAGGAGCCTGTGCTGTGAAAGCTCAGAGCAGAAAAAGGAAAGGAAGCAGTTTTGCGTTAGAGGCTAACACAAGGGGCTGCCTCACTTCAGCTCCCTCCTCCTGCAGTAACTAATTCAGTCCTGGTGGTAACTAACCCAATCTCGGTGGGAGCTAGCTCAGTCCTACAGCGTGAGGACTCATGCACCAGGGAAAGGCATTGATCTATCCAAGAGAGCTCTGCCTTCATGACCCACAAGGCCCCATCTCCCAACACCACCATGATGCCAACCAGATTTCCAGAGTGGGACAATGGGGCTGACAACCCCCTGCACCATACAGCATGCTCTTCATGACCCTGCCATGCCCAGCTGTAGAGCAGAACACTGTGGACCAGTTATGAACCTCAGAACACCTTGCTTCAATTACCCATGGATAGGGGTAGGATGCCCATCTCTGCCCATTGCCTATTAGTATCAGAGTAGCCAAGGAAAATACAACACAATCAATCATAGCACTTATGTAGACACAGAGCAAGATCAGCCTCAACTGCAGGGGATGGTGCCTGCCCACCCTACCCACCGCAGGGCCAGCAGGTCTCTTCTGGCAGCCAACCCCGGCCAGTGTCCCTGTGCACACTCCTCTTCTGCCCCTGACTCCTCCACTGCCATATCTGAAACACTGAAAGCTGGGGCGTGCCTCATGGCCACTGAGAAGCACTCCCATGTGTGATGTGTGCGTGATGTGTGTGTGTGGCCCAGTGGGTCAGCTGACTGTGCTGGTGGTATGGGGAGGGGCAGAGAACCAGGGTCTATAACAGATCCCAGGTGATGCTGCTGCAGTTAAGTGGGGACCACACTTTGCACCCCCTCCCACACATTAAGGGGCTTGAGGGAGTCCACCCTATGCAGGCCAGGGTGTGTTGTATCTCCAAAGCAGACAGCACTGCGGAGGAAAGGAAGGCAGAAAGAGGAAACCCAAGTGCAGGTAGACCACGTGACTGATCCCAGGTCACTTGTCCTATTCTGAGCTCTCTCTGCTGCCTCCCTGGGGCGTGCCCTAGAAGGGAGAACTGGCTGCAACAGGACACATCCAAGGAGCGACTTAAGCCTGCCTGGCACAACTCCAACATGTCCACATGCCCCACGCCTGTCTCGCCTGCAGAAGAACTCGGGCAAGGCTTAGGCACACAACCTCCAGGGTGCCCAGAAGAGTGGGAGGCTCCAGGGAAGCCTAAAGGAAATCAGGCACTGTTTGTATTTATGGACTTTATCCCTATACTGTCGAAGGGCCATTTCAGTTAGCTGAGTTCAAACAAAATCAGTTCAAACAGTGAAGTGGGACTTAGTACTGCATAATCTATACAGTAAATCTCGGTATTGAACATATCAGCTATGATTCATAGATATTTTTGCAGGTATCCAATGTGTGGTGGGCATGAATGCCAGCCCCTGATAAAACCAAATCTCGCCGTTGCCGCGGCTCACTAGGCTAATCCTCCACCTTGCGGCGCCGGCACACTGGGTTCTAGTCCTGGTTGGGGCGCCAGATTCTGTCCCGGTTGCTCCTCTTCCAGGCCAGCTCTCTGCTGTGGCCTGTGAGTGCACTGGAGGATGGCCCAAGTCCTTGGGCCCTGCACCCCATGGGAGACCAGGATAAGTACCTGGCTCCTGCCATCGGATCAGCGCTGTGTGCCGGCCGCAGCGCTCAGGCCGCGGCGGCCATTGGAGGGTGAACCAACAGCAAAAAGGAAGACCTTTCTCTCTGTATCTCTCTCTCAACTGTCCACTCTGCCTGTCAAAAAAAAAAAAAAATCTCTGCCCCACTTGACAGATCTGAAATCCCCAGGTGTGGCATGTGTGGTGTGCGGTGTCTGTGAGATGCGTGTGTGATGTGGGTGTGGTATATGTAGTGTGTGTGCTATGTGTATGGCCTCTGGTGTGTATACATGTGTTCTGTTATTCCAAGGGGTACAACTTTTACTCATCTATCTGCCCCAGTATGTGAATCACTTTATACTCTTAAGAGTTTGCATATCTTGCTTTCTAAAAGCAAGAACCACCTGCATTTTGTGTCACAAATAATGCTGCCAGCGCTGTCACACCACTGTGTTTCTCTGAACCCATCTGTACAGTCTACTCAGCAGAGACCCTACTGTTAACAAAAATCTCCACCTCAACCAAAGCCAAAAATAGCTCCGTCTGGAGTTGTTCGAAGGGATGCATTTTCATAAACTTAGCTGGAAAATCAAGAATGTTTTTAGTTTGTTTATTGAAAGGAGGGAAGAGAAAGGAAGAGAGAGAGAGAGAGAGAGAAAGAGAGGAGAGAGAGAGAGAGATCTTCCATCCACTGGTTTACTTCCCCAAACTAGAACTGGGCCAGCATGAAACCAGGAGCCAGGAACTCCATCCAGGTCTCCCACGTGGGTGGCAGGAACCTAAGTACTTGAGCCATCACCTGCTCTCCCTGAGTGCACACTAGCAGAAAGCTGGTAAGGAGGATTTCCCAATCAGGAAATGATTTGGGATTTGGCTGTATTGTGTGTGTTGAGCAATATTGCCCTCTGTTGGTTCATTTAAGGAAAACAGGAAGAGTTTGCATTTGGACATTAGTTGAGTTCTCTATTAAAGAAAAAATGCCAGTAGTTTGTTTTGAGGAATTCCTCAAGGATGTGTCCATATTGGCCACCTCTCTTCAGAGCTGGCTTTCCCAAGCCTGTCGTCAGGATGCTCAGAGCTCCCCGCAGTCCAGGAAGTGCTCTCCACCCTCCCCCAGCCAGGCCTGCTGCCTACTTCCCTCTCCTCCCCCAACCCTTGTTCCCAGAGTTGAAAATTCCCTGCCGCTCATCTTCTCAAGTCCAAGGCCTTGGATTCCTATAACAGCATTGAAGACATCAATGTGTTCTCTGGGAGTAATGGATCCAAACAGGACTAAGGAGCTTTCCCCCAACAGTGTCATCCTCCCAGAGACACTCAGGGGCATCTTCTTACCGCAAGGATCCAGCCTTGGCCATCGGGCCAGAGGCCATGACAGGAAAGGGATTCGGGCAGTAAAGAAGGGACAGAGATATCAGACATCACAGGATGAAAGAGGCAACACTTGGGTAAGATTTCATACGGTTAGAGTCACAAGGCAGCCATGAGTTGATAGTGATGCAGCATGAACGTTTCCAGAAAAATCTCTTGTTATCTTGTTAAAGCTCAGAGACGGCCTGCGCCTCGGCTCAATAGGCTAATCCTCCACCTAGCGGCACCAGCACACTGGGTTCTAGCCCCGGTCGGGGCGCCGGATTCTTTCCCGGTTGCCCCTCTTCCAGGCCAGCTCTCTGCTGTGGCCGAGGAAGGCAGTGGAGGATGGCTCAAGTGCTTGGGCCCTGCACCCCATGGGAGACCAGGAGAAGCACCTGGCTCCTGCCTTCGGATCAGCATGGCGTGCCGGCCGCAGCGCACCAGCCATGGCAGCCATTGGAGGGTGAACCAACGGCAAAGGAAGACCTTTCTCTCTGTCTCTCTCTCTCACTATCCACTCTGCCTGTCAAAAAAAAAAAAAAAAAAACTCAGAGACTCTCCCATGAAACACCATGGTGCCTCTCCTGGGAGGCCACAGTGCTCTTTCATAGATCACCATGACAAGACTTCAGAAATTCTGAGGAGCTAACTGTGCCAAATTCTCCTTCATTCACTGCAATCTTGATCCAGTTCACAGCCTAGCTAACCTCCAGAAGAAATGACTGAGCACTTTGCCTTCATTAGATGCTCATTGAAAAAAAAGACTCAAGATCTCTCTGTAAAACATGTCCTTTTAATCTCGAGAGTCCTCAAGTCCTGTGTGACCAGAGATCAACAGCTGCCCTTCCTGTACAGACAGCAGCACAGATGTCTTCTTGCTGGAGGTGGTGACATTGAAGCAAGGGCACAGACCCGGCCCTACCCAACCACCTTTGAGAACTGGCCTCAGCCTAAGGACACAATTGTTTTTCCATTCTGGTTGTTCCATAGCTGAACTTTAACTTGGTCATGTGAGGACCGTGAATGGAGGTGGCTTTGTTTGTTTTTAATTTATTTTTGCCCCAAGGGACCTGAACTGTAATCATAACTGAATTAAGTAGAAAGAGGAAAGGGTAATCAAATTTTGAAAACCTTTGAAGACTCACTTGAAATTTTTCTCCACTGTTTCCCACTTGCCCAGCAAATTCCAACGTGAATAGCTTGGATGATGTCACTAGACCTTAGAACAGAAACGAACACAATTAAACCCTGTTCACATTTGTGGTGAATGTTGAGCCTGCTTAATAATCCCTTTTTACCCAGCTTGGCTCACTCTCCACAAGGTTCTCATAATCATTTTCTCATGGGATTCCAGCAATTTCCCTGGAGTGGATTGGATAGTATTATTCTCAACTGAGAGCTGATGGAAGGGAGATCAGAGAGATTAAGGGGTCTACTCAAAATTGATGGATGCAAGTGACAATACTACACATCTCTTCCTGTTAAACCAAGCAAGCATTCCCACTTTACAAACCAAGACCAATGAGAGCAAACTAACTTGTTCAAGAATACTTGTCAGTTCCATAATTGATCCAGTGATTTAAATGCTACTTTTGTTATCCACTAAATTTTCATAAGCTTTTGGTTCTCTTTCTGGACTTTCAGTTTCATTGATCTCTCTGTCTATGCACAGCACATCCTGGTAACACCCCATTTTAATCATCAAAGCAACATTAGATATTTCTATGTGTGGTAGAAGCCTCCACCCTTGCCTTCTTCTTTTCTTTTCCTTTTCAGTATTTCTTGGCTATTCTGGAACTTAATAGAGGACTACTTCAAATCTTCTGACACCACATTCTTGGGCAGCAAAGCAGCTTCCCACAGCTGTTTTTGACCATGCCAAACTTGCCTGGTATGACAGAGAATTCTCAATGGAAGATGACAGAGACCTAGCTTGTCCTACAGCCTTCAAGAGTGTAGCAGGTGACAATTTAATGAAATGGAATTATTTTGGTGCAAACAATTTTGGAAGCTCATGCAGTGTTTTCATAATATGCACTTTCCATGAATGTTTGAAGTCCCGTTTAAAATAAACCTCAATTTTTTGCACCAGAATAGTTATATTTTAATTCCATTTCCATGAACTTTTTGAAGTCCTGCTGTATTTCTAGACACTTGAATTTCTAGAAGAGCAAAATACAGAACACTGAATCTCTCCGGGTAGCATGCAAACACTACTATCCCATAACGCCACTAGGTGACAATAGTGCCCAGATAGCCAGAACCCATGCTTCTGCTACCTTGGCCAAATGGGGTGGCTCAGAGCGAAGTCCACAACCAATCTTTTTTTCCGAAATGATGCACTAGGAATGAATATCAGTCCCCAGACTCCAGGGTGTGAGAAACATTAAATGTTTTTATTTTCTATAAACCAACTCACATAGTACCTAAAGGACCAAGAAAATTGGTCAATCTTGGAGCAACTCCCTTTTCCATTCACCTCGTGAAGAGTACAAGGGTGCCAAGGTTTGGGATTTTACTAAAACCTGGGGAGCCCCAGGTGGCATTGGTTATCTGCCCTCACTGAGGACCACTGACATCCACCGCCAGCCCAAAGCTGTTTTGCTTCGGTGCCACATTTGGAGCCCAGGCACCTTTGGCCAGGTTGGGGGGCCCAGAAACTCAAAATGAGTCTCTCTGGTGCCCCACAGGGCAGGTCCCTCTTAGTTCTGCTTATATCCTCAGGGCACTTGCAGGGGCCAGAGCAGTTTCCCCCTACTGTTGGGAGTCCAGGACCACCTTTGGCCCTAGAATGCATTAAAACCCCCTTCTGTCATCAGCATGTCTCCTTCCCTCTCCTCAAACCCTACTTCTCCTTGGTGATTTTAGTACTGGGGAATAAGTCAAGAGGAGACAATCCGCAGGCAGCACCTGAAGTCAGTCAATGTCCTAGAAACCTTCCCTCAATGAAGATAAACACCACCTGATATTTACTGCAGACGCAATAGAACACAAGCCCATAATTCCTAAATAAATAAGCTGCGTGTCAGTGAAGGAATGCCCCTGCTGTGCAGCAGAGTCCCTCTGCAGTGTTTGGAGGCAGGGCTGCACACCATCAGTCCCCAGCTCCCCATGGACTCCCAGCCTCTCTTCCTTTACATTTCCTTGCCCTGCCTTTATGAGTGCAAATCAGTCTGTTACCAAGATTCACTCCCTGAATTCAGGAAGTGGTGCAGTGGGTCCTGAGGATCCCTAGCCACAAGTTTTATTGAGGGCACTTATCTCCCCAGTAGATCACATCTTGATGTTGGATCTTATGTTGAGGATTTTTTTTTTCCAGGAACTCCGGGCCCTAAGCAAGAAATAAATACCACCTGACTGATGGAGCCGGTGCTGTGGCATAGCAAGTGAAACCGCCGCCTGCAGGGCTGGCATCCCATATGGGCACCGCTTCGAATCTCAGATGCTCCACTTCCAATACAGCTCTCTGCCATGGCCTTGGAAAGTGGTAGAGAATGGCCCAAGTCCTTGGACCCCTGTGTGGAAGACCCAGAAGAAGTTCCTAGCTCCTGGCTTCTGATTAGCCCACTCTGACCAGTGCAGCCATACAGGGAGTGAACCAGCAGACTGAAGACCTCTCTCTCTGCTTCTCTGCAACTTTGCTTTCAAATAAATACATCTTTTAAAAATAATAAAAAATAAATTGAAAGTACATCATTGTAAAAATTTTTAAAAAAGAAAGGAAGAAGGAGAAAGGGAGTATGGACAGAAGAGATGGTGGGGTGGGAGGTATCACTATGCTCTTAAATCTAAATATGAAATACATGATGGGACTGTATTGGAATCCCCTGGCACATTTGTAACTCCACCATTTGGGGCAAGTCCAATTGAGCATGTCCCAAATTGTACATCTCCTCCCTCTCTTATTCTCACTCATATTTAACAGGGATCACTTTTCAGTTAAATTTAAACATCTAAGAAAAATTGTGTGTTAATTCCAATACAATCCCATCAAGGTGGCATGTACCAATGCCATCTCACTAGTCCAAGTGATCAATTTCTGTTCACAATTGATCACACTGATAGGTCTAAGAGTCAAAGGGATCACACAAACAAGACTAGTGTCTGCTAATACTAACTGATAGAATTAAAAAGGGAGAGAACTCCAACATGGAAAGTGGGATACATAGCAGACTCATAGAATGGCAGATGTCCTAAATAGCACTCTGGCCTCAGAATCAGCCCTTAAGGCATTTGGATCTGACTGAAGAGCCCATGAGAGTATTTTAGGCATGGAAAGCCAAGACACTCTGGCAAAAAAAAAAAAAAAAAAAAAAAAAAAAAAAAAAACCAAACTAAATGAAAGATCTCTGCGAGTGAGATCCCAGTAGAAAGAACAGGCCATCAAAGAAGGAGGTACTTTTCTCTGAAGGGAGGAGAGAAGTCGAAATCAGTGAACTCAGAAGGCTTCCATAGCTTTGGCAACTCATGACTAGAGCCTAGGGAGATTACTGACGCTATGAACAAGAGTGTCAAATTGTTAAGTCAACAACAGGAGTCACTGTGTACTTACTCCTCATGTAGGATCTCTGTCCTTAATGTGTTGTCCAATGTGAATTAATGCTATAACCAGTACTGAAACAGTATTTCACACTTTATGTTCTGTGTGGGTGCAAACTGATGAAATCTTTACTAAATATATACTAACTCAATGTTCTGTATATAAAGACAATTGAAAATAAATCTTGATGTGAATGGAATGGGAGAGGGAGCGGGAGATGGGAGGGGTGCAGGGGTCCTGGCTGCTCCTCTTCCAGTCCAGCTCTCTGCTATGGCCCAGGAAGGCAGTGGAGGATGGCCCAAGTGCTTGGGCCCCTGCACCTGCACGGAAGACCAGGAGGAAGCACTTGGCTCCTGGCTTCAGATCAAAGCAGCACTGGCCGTAGTGGCCATTCTGGGGAGTGAAACAACGGAAGGAAGACCTTTCTCTCTGTCCCTCTCTCTCACTGTCTAACTCCATCTGTCAAATAAATAAAAAAATAATAATTCCCAACACAGTATCAAACTAATAAAGCTGCTACTTACTAGAAGATGCCTGCTGCCTTTGCCGCCTGTTGTCTGTTGTCTGTTGACCAGCCCTGTGGCATCCCTCACCCAGGGTAAGGAGTGTCAACTCTACAGAACAGAACTGCCCCATGGGCCACTGCCTGTGGTGGCCTCACTTGTGCAGAGAGGTGGCAAAGATTTACCCCTGATCTAAAGGGATCTCGAGGGAAGATACCACCCTAGTTGTGAGACGATTGATCCAGAGTGGTTTCAACACTTCCAGTGAGACAGCCCTGCCCCAGGACAGTAAATGGGATGGATCCAGGTATCTTAGTGTTTCCCAGAGGCCCCTAGGGGTGAACGCAAAACAGCAAGTGCCAAGTCCCCTCCACATCTCTCTAGATCACAGCAAGGAACAACCACTCAGGTGGATGTAATAGGTGACACCAATTGATTTTGACCAACTGCTATGGGTAGACTCAATCACCTGCCATTCATATGTTGAAGCCCTAACCTTCAAGGTAACTGGATCTGGAGGCATGGTCTTTAGGAGGTGAGGGGGTTAAATGAAGTCATACAGGTGGGGTTTGATCTTACCGGATTAGTGTCCTTACAAGGAAAGACCATAGACCAGTATGCGTGTGGCAGCTGGAGGCAGGGTAGGGCCAGTGTTGGGGAGGGGTGGTAAGGGTTAGACTGTCCCACCACTCAGAAGACTATGTTGTAAGGACACCCAGAAAAATAGCTCTCACCAGAAATTAAATCAGCTGGCACCTTGATCTTGGACTTTCAAAAACAGAGACAACGTGCATTTTTTCTGCTTTTTTTAAGTCACCTAACCACGGCCTGTTATCACAGCAGCTGAGCACCTGCACTGCACCATCACTCACCTTAAAGAAATTGAGGCTGGACAAGTCCGAGGAGAATATTTATGTGGAGGAGGCAGAGAGAAAGACAAGAGTCCCTGGAGGTTTAGAGGACAGTTTTTTTTTTTTTTTTAAGATTTATATATTTGAAAGGCGGAGTTAAAGAGAGAAAGAGAGGAAGAGAGACAGAGAGAGAGAAATCTGTCCTCTTCTGGTTCACTCCCCAAATAACAACAGTGGTTATGGCTCAGCCAGGCTGCAGCTAGGATCATGGAATTCCATCGAGGTCTCCCACACGGGTAGCAGGGACCCAAGCACTTGGGCCAAA